AAAAAAAAAAAAAAAAAGACACTACTAGCCACACCAGCTCTCTTCTCTTTCCCATTCCATGTTTTAGTCTGTGCTCAGAGGGGTAACATAGCCTAGCTTACCTATGGATTTGGACTTTAGGCGCAAGGGGTCAAGTTGGTGGTGTTGAAGTTCCCAAAGCTAGTATGCGATTCTTGGGGAAAATAGAGAGGCTGTCCCTTCCCCCACCTCCCTGTGCAGAAACATCTCTGTGCTGCAAAAATAGATTACCCGAAGTAGAAAAGTCTGTCCTTGCCCAGGACTCGGCTGTATTGGGGATGCCCATCACATGCATCCATTTGCTAAGCAAACTTCCATGCGCACGGCAGTACTTCACATAGGCTCTGCTTGCGGGCTGTGACGCAGTGGATTTGGACCCAGGGAGGGTATGGCCAGTCCCCCAGCACTCCTGGGGGCAGCCTAAGGTAGGAGCATCTGTCCTCAGTGGCATCCTCCAAGGATGCCAGTAGGACTTGAGGACTTCCCTGTCAGACCACAGAAGCCTGGAGTCCTCGCCACTCCCAGAGGACATTTCCTACCCCACAAACTGGGCCTAGGAAAAAGGTCCAGACAGAGCCGAAGCCCAGCAACCCACTTGCAGTCCAGCACTGCTACCACGCATTCACAGTCTTGGAGAACCTGCGGTGGGAAGACGCTGGGTGCCCCTGTCCTCAGCCTCACCCAGAGAACCATGGTCCGTCCCCAGTGCAGACTCACCGTCGGCCGGAGATGATGGGCGCACTGGTGTAGAGGCGCTCTGCAAGTCTGAGTGAGGTGCAAGGTGGCGTTTGTAGATTGCAGGTTCTGTCTGTCTGTCAGCCTCTCGGAGGAGCCAGGGCACAGGGGTCCTGTGAGCTGCTGAGGAGCCCAGTCCCTCTCTCAAACCTAATTCTCCTCTTCTCTTTCCCTGTCTCTGTGTCCTCTGTCTGTCTTGCTCTCCTCCTCCCCCACCCCGGGGCTGCAGAACCGCATGCATGAGTCTCTCATGCTCTTCGACTCCATCTGTAACAACAAGTTCTTCATCGATACCTCCATCATTCTCTTCCTCAACAAGAAAGATCTATTTGGCGAGAAGATCAAGAAGTCACCTTTGACCATCTGCTTTCCTGAATATGGAGGTGGGTGTCATGGTGGCCCTGCACAGGAGGAAGCCCCAGCCCTGGAGGGGACCTGGGTCTTCCCCAAAAGACATGAACTGGAGCCCAGCTGCCAGTGGTGCAGGGACAGGCAGCTCAGCCAGCATGCTCAGGGCAGCTGGTGAGAAGGGGCCAATGCAGGAGTCTGGCAGAGCCCAGAACACTAGGGTGTCGCCAGGCTTGGCCCTTCTCGAGACAAGGCCTGATGTGATGGGCACTGGCCCCTCCTGAGTAGTATGTCGTGATAGGTGACTCAGGAGTGGCACTGCAGGGTTCAGGGGTAGTACAGACCCACAGGTGTCCCCTCTGCTTTTTTCCCCTCAAGATTAAGTCTCCAGACTTAGCAGAACAGCCTTCCCTCACCCCTGCATGTGACAGCCTCTGGGCCCCAGCAACTCTGTGTGGAATGGAAGGGTGGACGTGTGGATGTAAGGGCCCCAGGCTGCAGCTCAGGCCCCACTGCTCTCCACTGCTCTGATGCGCTGAGCATGCCCCGTGTCTGTGGAGCCCAGGCCTGGCCCGTCTCTGACGGCCCCCCTTTTCTCCCCCTCCCCCCACACCCACTGTTGCTGCTCTCTCCCACTCTTCCTCCTGCGCTGGTCCTTTCCTAAATCAAGCCACCCCAACTACTGCAAACCTCCCCCACCCCATCTTCCTGTGTTCTGCCTTACCTGGAGCTTCTTGTTCCCATCTGGCTCTCAGAAGAGTATATCACAGACCCCACAATGAAGCTCTTTCCAAGTAGGGCAGGAGGGAAGGTGGCTCTGTAGGACACACGCCTCTGGGATGCTGCGAAAGGCTAGAGGCAGTGCTGCAAGGGCCCAACCTGTCCCTCTGGGGATGGGAAGTTTCTAGGTGTCTCAGGGTAGAGTCACCTCTGCATGCTGAGAAGAGGGCCAGCACCCACAGTGAAGGAGGATGTGCTCTGCTGTCCTCTAGGTAAGGGCACAAGCGGGTACAGCCAGGAACCCACTCACTGACAACCCGAGTCAGCCTGTGGGCATGGGCTTAGGCGCCAGGGCCACACGATTCCCGAACTAGCCAGAGGGTTCCCGCAGAGTGGACGCCAGCCTCTCCATCCCTCTTCACTAGCAGGCATGGTGCTGTGAAGTAGAAGGGCCCACTGGCTTGTCCTAAGCACAGCCGGTATCCTTGCTGATGCTCCACGTTGCTTAAGACTGTGCAAGGTGCCTGTCCATCTCCAGGTGCAGAGGGCAAGGTGGGGCCAGGGACTGTGCCCTGCACTCCAGGCCGTTGGGTCTGACAGATGTTAGCAGCACCAAGTCTCCAACAAGGCAAGTGGCCAAACCGGCCTCTGGAGCTAGACCGTCTACAACTCTGGGCAAGTCACGCCTTTGTGGCTCATTTTCATCTGGGTGCTGTAACAGATCACAATGCCACCCCAGAGGTGACTCCAGGTGGTGGAAAGGCATTGTAGGGAGCAAGGTGGGGACATCCCTCGGGTTGGGTCAAGGGTGAGCCTCCCTGTTGGCCAGAGGGACAGCACGGGAGATGGTGGTTGGTGTCAGGTCTATAACTTCTCGCTGTCATTGTTGTGGGTATTTAGAGAACCTAAACCATGGAAGAGGTGCTCTCTGCAGGCCCCAAAAGGCAAGAAGGGCCTGGTCCATGGGTGGGCAGAGC